GCCAACTTCTTCAGCCTGTTATTGTGACTGATGATCAGGTTGCTTTGGATGATGGGAATAAGAATGATGTTCTTGTTCAAGCTGATTTCCCTGATGGAGATGGGGATGTTGTTCATAAAGATGTTCCCAAAGGGAATGGGGATGATGGTCTGTTTCCTGGGCCTGGTTTTGGAGATGTAGGGCCTGAATGCAGTTTAGATTATGGGTCACAGAGGCTTGTATTGTTGCAAGAGGGTTCTCAAGGTCTTGAGCTGGGGAAAGGCTCTGCGCTGCAGTTTCCTGGTCAGTTATCTTCAGGTGGAGATTTTAATGAAGGGAGTAGCAGTGAAGCTTTGAACAGGAGAAGTGTTTTTAGCCAGCAAAGACAAACAGTTCAGCAATTACAGTACTCAGCCAGATTACAGCAGAAGTTAGAAGTGAAACCAAAATTGAGGGGGGGAAATCCTTTCCTAGCTGTTTGGGAAATAGGGCAGGGATATAAGTGTCAAGTATGGAATCTAGCTTCAGATGAAGCAATGTTGGATCCACATTAAGTTCTTCATGCCAAGTTCTTGGACTCTTGTCTTTGTTTGATTCATGGATTAAGTGCCTTTGCTGTTACTTGCCTTTGAAATCAAGTATCTAGTTTCATTGACTTTTTTGTACTGTTTCTCTTTGGACAAATTGTTCCTATTTTCTTGAATTTCTAGAAATGGTTGCAGGTTCCATCAGATCTTGGACTTTGCACTGAATTGCCTAAGAGCACCTAAACCAAAAGGATAGTAGGAACCACTGTTGACAAAAAACATGGTGTTATCTTGGATTGCAAATGTATTAGATCAGAGAAATGATGAGATAGAATGTAGTAAAAATGTATGAGTTCAGTTACCACAATCTAGATGTAATTTCTAGACATAACAAAGAAACGTATTCTGGATAACACTAAATGGCAATTGTAAACAAAAAAAGTACAAAATGTGTCTTTTTTATTCAATGAAAGGCAAACAATTTGGTGTTAGATGAACACATAGTAATGTTGCCTGGAAACAAACATCCCAAGAGACGACATTTGTGTTGTGTTGGTATGTGAGTCATCCACAATTTAACACCAAAATTGCAAAGCAGGCTGCCACACTTCTCAACATCCAACTCAACCTGGGCCAGAAGTCTTCAGACAAAGTTTGGCAATATGTACCTCATGGGATACATGCTGTATTGAAGGCTGTTTTTGTGGCCCACGGATCCATCGAATGTCACCCACCTGAAAAAAATTATTTCCGAAACGGGAAGCTTGCAAGGATTGTGGTTTTGTGTTTTCCAAGATGGTTCCATCAGAAAACGGAAGTGAGCAGGACCCATTTTTAAGTTTTCAGCAAAAAATGTTTTGGGATCTAGTTGAGGCTTTCAAATATATCATCTCCCTCCTTAGAGGACATCCCTGAGAGTCTAGGAAGCAAGAGTCCAGGATACCATCACCCCATTCCTGAGCCAGAAACTACAAACAAAAAACTAAAATTGATGCTGGATTGAGTACCAGAGGTCACTGGAAGTAGGCAATACAAAATGAAACATGGGGAATCAGTGACCAAGATCCTGCATGAAAGAGGTGTTAGGTAGCTTTGTACTCACAGAATTACACCTCAGTTGAACTACACCGGAAAATAACAAAATTATGACATTGCACGACATTGATTTACATTAATGTATAATGCACAACCATGCACAATGATGCAATCAGTGCATAGTATGCAATAAGGAATATGAATGTAAAATCGCACCCCATAACCCTCAGCTAAATACAAAAGTTATATATTGCCCCAAAAACCAAAACATCCACATCCACGTATTTAAAGCAAATTCCAGGCTTGTCCATGCCATCAGCTGCATTTCAGATTAATCAGCCCCGATTTAAATTTGGAAATGTCACTTTGGAAGGTAGAAACTGGGAGCTCAGGCTTAGGGCTGCTGAAAGGAGAGGGAACAGAGAGGGAATAGCAAGAGTGGGGCAGGGAGAGAAACACATCACTGGAACCTTTTTTAAAAAAATGGCAGTGCTTGCCACCCAACAGTCACAGTCTACAAAGGCCAAAGCTTTTCAGCACTTTAGCTCACACACAGTTTCCCTCATGAACTTGGCGGAAAGTGACTATCAAAATTAGCAGAGTTCAGAGTTATCCCTGGGAATGGGAAAGCAAAACACAGACAGCATAGGTGACCTATGGACCTATGGCGGGGGACATTTGTCAACTGTGGGATTTATGAATTAGCAGAGTGCTAGCCAAAGGAGAAATGTGCATGGATAGTATCATTTAAAGGGCGTAGACTAATCTATATCCATAATAATAGTGAAAATATGTATGTGTGTGTGGCTGGGATGCTCACTTTCACAGACAGGCTCCCACTTCCACAAACAACTATGGTCCTCACCTATGAGGAGCCACCAAAGGCCCTCCAATGGCATTGCAGGTTATAGCATGCATCATGAATGTGCCAATGTCCTCCACAAACACAATACTGCCCACCACGCAAGTGAAGGCTTTCATATGGTGGCAATAGTATCCTAGATTTTATGTGTCTCCTCCAACACAGAAATCTCAGTGTTTCTGACTTTTTCAATTGGTGTGAAATTTCCATGATCCCACCCACTGCCTCTCCCATAAACCTTTCCTACTCTTTTCTGTGGGGCACAGCAAACGGAGCAGAATTGATCAGCAACTAAACATACTGAAGAAGTTTGGGGACTGACTCAATATGATGGAAGTTGTAGTTCACTCCAGAGCACTGTGACCCCCAGCAACAATGGACCTGAACTACATTTGGCACACAAAACCCCATGTCCTACAAAAAAAAAAAAATACTGGAGGGCATCCGGGTAATTCATCTTGATTAGGGGAAGTTGCAGTTCACCCACATCCAGAGAGCACTGTGAACCCAAACAATGATGGATCTGGACCAAATTTAGCATACATACCTGATATGCCCAAATTTGAATACTGCTGGGTTTTGGGGGGAATTGGCCTTGACAGTTGAGAGTTGTAGGTTCTGGAATTTATAGTTCACCTGCAATCAAAGAACACTCTGAAACGTACCAACAATGAACCTGGACCTAACTTATCACACAGAACCCGCATGACCAGCAAAAAATACTGGAGGGCTTTGAAAAGAATTCACCTTGATTTGGTGGAGTTGTAGTTCACTTACATCCAGAGAGCTCTGTGAACCCAAACGACGATGGATCTGGACCACACTTGACACACATACCTATTATGCCCAAATTTGAATACTGGACAAGTTTGGAAGATATTGACCTTGTTTTTTGGGAGTTGTAGTTCACCTACAACCAGAGAAGCTGGAAACTCCACCAGCTTGGATCAAACTTGGCACACAGAACCCCTATGACCAAATGAACATTCTGGAAGGGTTTGAGGGGACTGACCCACCATGGTGGGAGCTGTAGTTCATCCTGCAGCCAGAGAGGACACGGACCCCACCGATGATGCAACAAGAGAGTAAAATTGCCCAAAATGACAAGCTTTAATCTTATGCATTTTGTAAAAGAAAAAAAATGACTTTTACGGTTAACCCGGGCAACACTGGTTACCCAAGCTAGTAAGTAATTAAAAAATCATCACAGAGCAGAAATTTCTCCAAGGCAGCCTCTTCCTCCTTCCTTCTGGCTCTCTCTCTTTCCTTTTCCCACATTCCGGTTTTTTCTCACCTCTCTTTCCTTCTCTATCACTCCTTCCATCACTTCCTCCCTCCCTCCTTCCCTCACTCTTTTCCTCTACTCCCTTTTTCCCTCCCTCCCTAACATCTCCCCCCTCTTCCATCCCTCTCTCTCCCCCTTCTTTCTTTCCTTTTATCTTCTATCCTCCCTTCTTCCCCTTTCCATCTTTCTCTCCCACCAGGTCTTTCCTTCTGTCCTTCCTCCCTTTCTCTTCTCTCCCTCCCTCCCTCCCTCCCTTCCATCTCTCTCTCTCTCTCTCTCTTCCATCCCTCCCTCTCCCCCTCTCCTTCCCTCTTCTACCTTCCCTTCCTCTTCTCTCCCTCCTTTCTTCCTCTCTTCCTTGCTCCCTTCTTCCTTTTCTCCCTTCCATATCCCCCTCTCTCCTCCCTCCCTCCTTCGCTCCTTCCCTTCCTCCCATCTCCTTCTTTCTCGTCCATCCTTTTCTTCTCTCCTTCTCGCTCTCTCCTTCCCTCTTCCATCCTCCCTTCCTTCCTCTTCTCTCCCTTTTCTTCCTCTCTTCCTTGCTCCCTGCTTCCTTCCCCCTTCCATCTCCCTCTCTCAATTCCATCCCTCCCTCTCTCTTCTCTCTCCATCCCTCTTTTATCCTCCCTTCCTCTCCCTCCCTCTTTTCCTTTACTTCCTTCTTCCCTCCCTCCCTAACATCTTCGGCTCTCTCTTCCATCCTTCTCTCCCCCTCTCCTTCTCTCTCTTTCCCTTTTCCCTCTTCCCTCCCTCTTTTTCCCCTTTTTTCTTCCTCTCTTCCTTACTCCCTTCTTCCCTCCCTCCCTTACTTCCATCTCCCTCTCTCTCTCTCTCTCCCATCCCTCCCTTTTTTCTCTCTCCTTCCCTTTTCTGTCCTCCCTCTCCCTTCCATCTTTCCCTCTCTCCTCCCTTTTTCCCTCCCATCTCCCGCTGTCTCTTCCATCCCTTCCTCCCTCTCCCCTTCTCCCTCTCCCCTTCCCTCTTCCATTCCCTCTTCCATCCTCTCTTCCTTACTCCCATCTCCTTTTCTCTCTCCTTCCCTTTTCTGTCCTCCCTCTCCCTTCCATCTTTCCCTCTCTTCTCCCTCCCATCTCCCGCTATCTCTTCCGTCCCTTCCTCCCTCTCCCCTTCTTCCCTCTCCCATCCTCTCTTCCTTACTCCCTTCCTTCTCTCTTCATCCCTCTCCTATCCTCCCTCCCTCCCTCCCTCTCCCTCCCTCCTCCCTCCTTCCTTTCCTTCCAGCGCGGAGAGGGTTAAGGCAGGCCCGTCTCCGGCGGCGCGGGGGGGGGGGGAGGCAGTGACGCGCCCTCTTCTCCCTCCAATCCCGATATAATCCCGCATCCCCGGCGCCAGCGAGCGGAGAGAGCGGCATCAGCGGAGGCTCCTGGGCTCTGCCTCCTCCGGGGCCCCTTCTCTCTCTCTCTCTCTCTCCTTCCTTCCTTCCCTCCCTCCCCGGTCCATCCATTTCGTTCTTCCCGGCCGCTGCCCCCCTGGACGCTGCCACCCTGAAGTTTCTGGTGGTGCTGCTGGCCGCCGGGATGCTGGCCTTCCTCGGGGCCGTCATCTGCATCATCGCGAGCGTCTACCCGGCGGGAGGCAGCCGCGGGGGAGGAGGAGGGCACCCCGACAATGTCTCCAGCCCCGGAGGGCACGATGCCAGCGCTGCCGCCCTCCTTCCCGGCGCGGACAAGACCCTGGGCGCCCTCCACGGCCACGGAGCGGGGGGAGGAGGAGGCGGCTCCCCGGACGCCTTGCTGGACCTGCTGGCCAGCGCCCGTCCCCGCCAGGAGCAGCACCAGCAGCTCTTCAGCCGCTTCCTCTGCACGCCGCTGGCCTCCGAGTGCCCCTCCGAAGGCGGGCCCCAGGGCGACGGGCCGGGCCTGCCTGCCTCCGCCAGCGAGGAGCTCTTCTTCCTCCAAAGCACCGCCGAGCAGCTCCGCCAGACGGCCCGCCAGCAGAAGGAGCAGATCCGCACCGACCAGGAGACCATCCGCGAGCTCACCACCAAGCTGAGCCGCTGCGAGAACGGGCTGGAGAGGGGCTTCCAGGACGACGACGGAGGCGCCATGCGGGACCTGCCCTGGGACTCGCCCGCCCTCGTCCGGGAGCTCGAGGAGGCCGTCCGCGCCCTCAAGGGACGCATCGACAAGATCGAGGTGAGATCGAGGCACCCCCTGGCCTCCCCTCTCTGCGGGCCAGACAAGGCATTCTGCCCAGTGCCAAGCCGCGCTTGATCAAACCCTTTCTCCTCCTTTCCTGCCGTCTTTGAGGGCATTTCACCTTTGTCCTGTGCTTCTGGCACAAGCAAGGACCAACTTGGGTCCTCCAGGAGTTTTGGACTCCTACTCCCACCATTCCTAACAGCCTCGTGCCCCTTCCTTTCCCCCCTCAGCCACTTAAACCTAATCTAGCCTAGGCTGCCTTTCTTCTAATACAGTGTAGCTCATGAATGGGCCAACTTGGGTCCTCCAGGGTTTGGGACTCCAACACCCACAATTCCTAACAGCCTCAGGCCCTCTCCTTTTCTCCCTCAGCCCTTAAGCCTGCTCTAGCCTGGGCTGCCTTCCTTCTAACACAGTGTAGCTCATGAATGGGCCAACTTGGGTCCACAAAGATTTTGGACTAAAACTCCCACCATTACGAATGGCCTCAACCCCCATCATTTCCCCCCACAACCACTTAAGCCTGCTCCACCCTGGGCTGCCATCCTTCAAATACAGTGTATGTAGCTCAACTTGGGACCTCAAGGGGTTTTGGACTCCAACTCCCACCATTCCTAACAGCCTCGGGCCCCTTCCTCCCCCCCTCAGCCACTTAAACCTAATCTAGCCTGAGCTGCCTTCCTTTAAATATAGTGTAGCTCATGCATGGGCCAACTTGGGTCCTCTAGGGTTTGGGACTCCAACTCCCAGGGTTTGGGACTCCTACTCCCACCATTCCTAACAGCTTCAGGCCCCCTCCTTTCCCCCCTCAGCCACTTAAGCCTGCTCTAGCCTGGGCTGCCTTCCTTCCAATACAGGCTGAGGGGGAAAAGGAAGGAGGGTGAGGCTGTTAGGAATGATGGGAGTTGGAGCCCAAAACCCCTAGAGGACCCAAGTTGGCCCATGCCTGCTCTGTCATCTTTTCAACATCTTCTTGCCTTTCCTCTTTACAAAGCAGTCTTCCTGGACACACACTTTGCCCCAATGCCACCCGGTTCCCTTTTCTCTTTCTTCTCCTTTTCCCTTTCCCCTCTCAACCATCTACGTTCCCCAGTACCAACCAGTTATTCTTGGTGGACCCTTTCTCCTCCTCCCCACTTTTCTCTTCCTTCCCTCTTTCCCATTCCCCCAGCCTTCCTTTTTTTTCCAGTGCCAATCTGTTGTTGTTGGTGGTGGTGGATCCTTTTGCCCTCCATACATCTCTTCCTTTCCCTCTTTGGGGAGCCATTCTTCTCTGCCCAGTGCCAACTAGTTCTTGGTATCTGCTTTCTCCTTCGTCTCCTTTCCTTCTTCTCCTCTCTTTTTGGGTAGAATCATAGAATCCTAGATTTGGAAGAGAACTCATGGGCCATCCAGTCTAAACCCCTGCCAAGAAGCAGGAAAATCACATTCAAAGCACCCCCGGCAGATGGCCATCCAGCCTCTGTTTAAAAGCCTCCAAAGAAGGAGACTCCACCACACTCCGAGGCAGAGAGTTCCATTGCTGAACAGTGCTCACTGTCACAAAGTTTTTCCTAATGTTCAGATAGAATCTCCTTTCTTTCTTGTAGTTTGAAGCCATTGTTCCATTGCGTCCTTGTCTCCAGGACAGCAGAAAACAAGACATTTATTCCTCCTCCCTATGACTTCCCCTCAAAAGAGAACAGATGGCAACTTCACCCTGATAACATGAATTAACGTCCGGGTAGATGCCATACTGAACATGATGGGCACACATTGCCTCAGTTGCTCTGGCTGTTTTGCCCCCATTAAACCCTGCTTTGCGTTGCCCCCTCCCCAGCTTCCTAACCTATTATGAAACCCCTATACATGGCCCTCATCATGTCTCCTCTCAGCCTTCTCTTCTGCAGGCTAAACACGCCCAGCTCTTTAAGCCACTCCTCATAGGGCTTGTTCTCCAGACCCTTGATCATTTTAGCCGCCATCCTCTGGACACATTCCAGCTTGTCAACATCTCCCTCCAAAATTTGTCCATGCCTGCTCTACCCTCTCTTGTAATCACGCTACTACACTAGATTCTCAGTTAACCAGAAGCAATTGGAACTCTCAAGCAACCAGCAAGAGTTTACTGACTGCCAATTAACTCAAAGTGCATATTGCATTCATCAAACTGTTTTTATAATTTTGCAAAGCTGTGTTGCATTGCCTTTGTCTTTATTTGCTTTTAATTACTGCTTTTAATTTCAATATTAATATAAAGTCAATGCATATAAAATTGTTTCTAGGCACTGAATGTTTGGCTTTGTGTTTGTTTATGCTGGAATCCGCCCTGAGTCCCCTCAGAGAGATAAAGTTAGGGTTACGGTATATATTTATATTATTATTATTATTATTATTATTATTATTATTATTATTATTATGCAGAGTTTCTGGTATGGAATAGATTGGGGTATCATATCAGTTAAGCCTATTTGTAATAGTAACGCTTAAGCAACCAGAAACTACATTTAGCTGGGATCTACTGATCCCCATGGCTGCTGGTTAACTGACATGCTGATGTATTACTATTGTTATGTTGGCGTCGCCAAGCATTTACGATGATCCTTCTGCACTGGCGGGAAGGAAGAGTCTTACTAGGAGGAAGCAACCGCAGCCCATTTCTAGCATCAAAAGAGAACAGATGGCAACTTCACCCTGATAACATGAATTAAGCTTCGGGTAGATGCCATACTGAACATGACGGGCACACATTGCCTCCGTTGCCTGGGCTGTTTTGCCCCCATGAAACCCTGCTTCGCTTTGCCCCCCCCCCCCCCCAGCTTCCTAACCTATTATGAAACCCCTATGCAAAAAAATATAAATAGTGTCCCCCTTCACTAAGAAAATTTTATTTGTTTGTGATCCTTCCCTTTTCCCCTTTATCTTCTGCCCCTAGGGATGCTGGGAGAGCTTAATTGCATTTTAATAATTCATGTAATTAAAAGAACTTTAATCATAGCGGTGATACATAGTTTGGGTAAATTGCAAAGTCCTTTGCTGTTGACTTTCTCATTCTGGGATTTGGGGATGAAGGTGATGGGGCTGTATATGAAAAAGCAGGAAGGTAAATGGTTGGCAGGTATACTAAATGCATGTTAAAGCAGGCATGGGCCAACTTGGGCTCTCTGGGTGTTTTGGACTCCAACTCCCATCATTCCTAACAGCCTCACGCCCTTTCCTTTCCCCCCTCAGCCGCTTAAGGAAAGGGCGTGAGGCTGTTAGGAATGATGGGAGTTGGAGTCCAAAACACCCAGAGAGCCCAAGTTGGCCCATGCCTGTGTTACAGCATATAAATCTTTGCCCTAGTGCCCTCTATAAGCTTTTCTCACTCCTGGAATACACGTGATAGTAGTCACAGAAATAGGTTCTGTTCAGAAATATGCCCATTTGCAGGTAAACAAGTTGGTGAAGCTTTTACAAAAAATATACAAACAAACACATGTATCCTTGTTACTTGAGTCACCCCGCCGATCTTCCTTCAGCAGCTGCGTCGTCCCAAGGCGCTATCGAATCCTTTGAGAATATTTGATTTCCAGCCACGTTTTAATTAATACTCGAGGGGCCAAACTCTTATATCCTCCATTAAAGCACTGTATATTATGGAAAAAGCTAGCAGGTATTTTGCATATCGGAGCATCTGGAATTGGTCTACAAAATCTGGGTTTGTGCTAGATAATTTCAGTGTGGTTCACTTTGAACTAATTATGGCTTCTATTCCATGAATGTCTATTCCGACCTCTGTGTTTTTAACTGTTCAGAAACACTTTTATTCTTTAATCTCTATGTATGCATGATTTTAAATAACTGTTTTAATTGATATGTTTTAATGATTAGATTTTAATGTATATGTTGTTTTATGCTGATATGTGTAATATGGCTAAGGTTCTTAATTTATAGTATATGTTATTGTCTAGATCAGTGTTTCTCAACCTTCCTAATGTAGTGACCCCTTAATACAGTTCCTCATGTTGTGGTGACCCCCAACCATAACATTATTTTCGTACTTCATAACTGTAATTTTGCTACTGTTACGAATCGTAATGTAAATATCTGAATATGCAGGATGTATTTTCATTCACTGGACCAAATTTGGCACAAATACCCAATACGCCCAATTTTGAATACTGATAGGGTTGCGGGGGATTGATTTTGTCATTTGGGATTTATAGTTAACCTACAATCAAGAGCATTCCGAACTCCACCAACGATAACATTGAGCCACATTTGACACACAGAACTCCCATGACCAACAGAAAATACTGAAAAGGTTTGGTGGGCATTGACCTTGAGTTTGGAAGTTGTAGTTCACCTACATCCAGAGAGAACTGTGGACTCAAACAATGATGGATCTGGACCAAACTTGGCACTCAAAATTCCCAAATGTGAACTTTGGTGGAGTTTGGGGAAAATAGATCTTGACATTTGGGAGTTGTAATTGCTGGGATGTATAGTTCACCTACAATCAAAGAGCATTCTGAACCCCGCCAATGATAGGATTGGGCCAAACTTCCCACACAGAACCGTCATGACCAACAGAAAATACTGGGTTTTCTGATGGTCTTTGGCAACTCCTCTGACACCCCCTTGTGACCCCCCCCCCCCAGTGGTCCGACTCCCAGGTTGAGAAACACTGGTCTAGAAATTATGTTTTGGTTTTCACATGTATGTACGGCATTGAACTTTGCCACTGTTATGTTGGAAGGACACCCTTTGAGTCCCCTCAGGGGTGAGAAAAGCAGAATATAAATGCAACAATTGAATAAATAAATAATATTGGAGCCCCCAGTGGTGCAGTGGGTTAAACTGCCAATCTGCTGAACTTGCTGACCAAAAAATCAGAAGTTTGAATCCGGGGAGCAGGTAGAGCACCTACTGTTAGCCCCAGCTTCTGCCAACCTAGCAGTTTGAAAACATGCAAATGTGAGTAGATCAATAGTTATCACTTCGGCGGGAAGATAATGGCGCTCTATGCAGTC